AGCGGGCCCAGCTCAGGCTCAGGCCCTGGCCCCACCAGCCTGCTCAGGGCCGGCGGCAGCTCAGACACCCTGGACACGAGCGCTTCCGGGGGCGGCTGCGTGCTCTGCAGCTCCCCGGGCTGTGTCGAGGGATTGAGCTGCAGCAGCTCCTACGGATGCTGACCGCTTCCCAGAACCCATTTCTGCCAGAAAGACTTGACCTCTTGTCTCAGATATCCTCTCCTGTGGAGCTAGCCCTCACTTCACCTCTCCCTCTTGCCCGCCATCCCGGAATGTAAAGTCTTGAACCATAGCTTACAGAATGGAGCAAACAGCCTGGGCACTGTGGCTTCCCCAGACTCAGCGCTCTGCCCCTCTGAATTGCCCATCCCTCCTTTTCAGGGACTTCTCCTTTGCAATTAAAAGTTCTGCTGTGACCCATCTGCCATTGTGTTTGAACCTGAATTCAGAGGCCGTTCCCACATCGGGTACCCCTCGAGGTGGCCCCATTGGTGGGTCAGGGCAGGACCAACGCCAGGAAGCAACCTTCCCCTTAAGGGTGGGGGGTCTCCTGTGACTTCAGTTTTTGGTGACTTGGTATTTATACAGTGGGATCTTTAGTACTGATTTCCAAGGAGAGTCAGAGGGCCCTGGGGAAAGTCAGACAATGCGTATTCACCCAGGAGGGTCGAGGGTGGGTCTACATCAAGTTTTCTAGCAGAGGAGCCTAGTGCTGCATTCATTCATTCATTCATTCATTCTTTCTTTCTACAAATACTTGATTGGACTCCCAGGGTCTGTGTAGCGCTTGGTCCTGAGGACACAGCTGTGAGGAGCCCCCTACACTTGGTTTTCTGGCAGTGATTCCCTAGCTAGGGAGATGGGCTGTAAGCAAGGAACAGACAGAGAAGAGAAGAGAGCCGATAGGTGCCTTCTGCTGCCCTGACAGGGTGCTTGAGGACAGGCTCTGCATAAATGGCCTTTGCCAGTTGGGGATCAGGGCAATGAACACAATTGCATGCTCAGTGTGTGTTCTGGGATGGCAAGTGACCTTTTGGTGGGCAGAGGAACAGCATGCCATAGCAAGGGAAGCATGGATGTCTCTGCGTCAACATCTAAGAGGACTTCGGTCTGAGTTTCTACAAGGCCACCGGATGGATATTAGTATAGTCTGAGGGTGGGGTGACTAGAGAAAGACTTAGTTTCTGTACGCTTTCCTTATGCTCTTCTCACCACACAGGCTCCAGTGCAGCTTCTGCTCAGTGAGGTCACACATTCTTTTCTGCTGCACGGAGGATTACATCATCAGCGTTGTTGGAAACAACAGTTCCTGGCTTCCAGATCCCTGGGTGGGGCTAAGATGTGTCATTTACTGGAGGCTCTGGCTTTACCTTTTAAGGTATTCCAGTGCTGGGGAGTGTGCTGTGTTTTCCTGCACTCCTGCCTGGAGAACAGGCATCCAAAAGGCACTTTTCCCCGAGTAAACAAAACAGTCTCATGAAAAAGGAATGGGACCGAAACTTGGCTGGCAAGTGACCACTCGGCTGAGGGAGAGGGCCCATGGCCCTGCTGGGATCACATCATCCCCATGTGATCAACATTGACCTGCACCAGTGATATTGACATCCTTGCTGACATTTCTGGGGCCAAACAGCTGCCTAAAAGCAGATGCTGGAGTCCAGCTGGGTGTCCCTAGCACTTTGCTAGGAGGCAGTGCAGTTTTATGACTTTCAAGGACCATTTTTCCAGCTCCTGCTGCAATGAGCATTTCAACGAAGGGACTTCGTGGGAAGTACAGCCAGAAATAGCAATGAGGGCTTGGAGGCAGCATTTACAGTGCACATTCTGTGGCCTATGTCAGAGGACTGGCTGCCTGACTTTTCCCTTTCCAAATGTTGAGCCCAGACTTTCCTGATGTCAGCTCAGGAGATCACACGGGCTTTAGGTTCATGTTAGAATCTCTTCCTGGGCCAGTGCCACATGGGTCAGCAGCAATGTTTGTGGTTTGGGGACCTATTCTTTAAGAGGCTCCCTGCCTAGGGGCCACATTCCAGCCTGGGGTGGAAGAGAAATGTCTGGTGCTTTAATGGGGAGTCATTCAGCAGCCTATTTACTTATTCTGTAAGTAGAGGTGACTTTGGAAGAGAAGAGAATTGTCACTAGTTGAGTCATTCTCAGCATTAGGGAACCACAAAGGCCCAGCCTTCTGTTGGCTCCGCATGCCTGCCTCACACTTCATAGAACTCAAACTTGCAAGATGCTAATTTAGCTGTGTTTACATCTCTACTTGAGACCCTGAGGGCAGTGACTTTCTCACTCATGTAGCTCTGGGGGCCACCATATTGTAGATGTGAGAGGTTGCGACTTTATGGTCCAGATAGATCTGCGTGACCTGGAATATCCTGGGCTCTGTTTCTCCATCTAAATGTCTCACCCTAAATAACTCCTTGAAAGTCTTTTGTGGAGTCTCAGTGCTAACTATGACCAAACTCTTCACCTGTTTCAGGCTTCTGTACCCCCCAGATCAGATCCCAGATCTAAATGGTGAAGAGTCATTTTTCCCTACATCATGTCTCTGAGCCAAAGTTTATTTGTAAAATAGAATAGTATCAATTATAAGGTTGTTTGAGGACTAAAGGTATTGCTGCATGGAAAGTGCTAAAACACTAGTTTATTTTTATGGGCAGAGCTGAAGATCAAAGCCAGGGACTTGCTCTTCACTGAGCTGTATCCTGGCCCTCTGGAAACATTTGGAACAATTTTAAAGAAGGTTGTACAAAGTCTAAGGGCAGCTGACTTCCCTCTGTCCAAACTGGTGCTAGAGTGATAGTAGGTAGCCCAAAGGTTAGAGCAACAAGGACACCCTAGACAGAAGGCACCTCCCAGAATGACACCCAGTAGCACCTGCCCATCACTACTCCCACCCTTGTTTTCCTCCATGACTCTTGTCACACCAGCACACCTGGGTCCCTTCACATACCCACACTATACTCACACCCACATGCGCCCACCAATCCCCCTCCCTAACACAGAGCCACACATGTACATATGCTTCCACACGGCTGCCTGGAGCTGTGCTTGTACTAAAACGCAGTCATCCTGTTCTCTGTACGCACATGCATATGTGAGTTACACAGAATGGTGAATGCACAAGACACCACGCATCTGCGCAGCACAGCTGCACATGGGACCCCATATTTTCCATTCCCCTCCAGCTCTTGATCCTGTTCGACCTAGTCTACGAAGAATAGAGCTTTAAGTTGGTAAGGGACCTTAGCTGCCATCCAGTCCAAGCATTTTGTTCCATCATTGAGTAACCTGCTAAAGGTTACAGAGTAAGGAGTTCTATTTTCTTCACCCATCTGCAGGTAGGTGCTGTGTTTGGTAGGTTTGCCCTTGCTTTTCGTTGGGTCTGTCCAGCAGTGGAACTGTGAGAGAGGCAAACGCTGTGTAGCTGGAGTGGGAGGGAGGAGAGGAGCAGAGCTCGGGGAAGGTGAGAGGGTGTAAGTTTTGCAGGCCATGAAGGCCCAGCAGGGTTGATGACACCAGCAAGACAGGCACAGAGGACTCATTTGGCCCAGGCAGGAGGTCCCTCAGGACTGGAGTTGCGGCTGGCTTCTGCACTGGGGAAGGATGAAGGTTGGAGCTGCTGCTTGGGCTTCAGGATTGGACTCTGGACATAGGCCCTGCTCGTCAGCTGTGTGATGTCACAGCATAGAGGGTTGGCTAGAACAGTCGCACATTCTGGAACTTTCCAGGTGCTCCGTCTGGCTCACAGTTCCATCAGAGGTAGCTGAGAGACCTGGCTTATTCTACCTCTTATAGGAACCATTCTCTCAACACTCTTCACTATTTCCAGTGCCCTTTGTGAGGGGCTTCCATTTGTGCTATATTTTCTAGGCCAGGGACTGGAATATTAGAGATTCTCCCTGCTGTACTTAGTTGGTTAGTGCTATATGAGCACTTCCCTGTATGAAGGAGCACACTGGCCCTGTAGAAATGGAGATTCTCTCCATACTTGCATCTCTGATCATGGTTAAGGATGTAATAAAAGGCTAAGGGCAGCTGATCTCCCTCTGTCCAAACTGGCCCCCGACAACACTTCTACTTTACACTGCAAAGAATAATGCGAATGATAAAAGCAGATAGTGGTTATTTTGTGGCCAATAGTATTTTAATACATGAAATTGCTTTATCTTCCCATTGACCTTGGAGCAGGTGCTCTTTATCATCCTTGTTTTAGAGATGTGGAAATAAGCACACAAAAGGTAAGGATATTGCTCAAGTTCACTCAGCTGGGAGGAAATAGAGTCCAGTTTTGGACTTAGGCAGCTCCAGACTGTGCTTGTACCTCTGAATCATCTTGCCAAGTGCTATTTCCTGTCTTTGAATCAATGAATCAGCAATGGCAGGTCTCCAAGCCTCGAAGGAACTCCACTAAGAAGGGAAAGCCATGGCAAAGGCCTTTCAAAATTTTAAATAATATTTATATATTCACTCCTGAAAGAATTCCAATAAATTACTCAGGCATGAGTCTTCCCCACCAAAGCAATCAGTGAGCAATGTTTCCTTAAGCTTTTGAGTGCTGGGTGAGTTTACTATGGATTAGCCATGAGTTTACAGATGTGCAAAAGATATTTTCTGGGAGGCAGCTTGGTTTGGTGAAATGAGCACTAGAGACGCACACAGGGTTCAAACTGCGGCGAGAGAGCCAGTGACTACATCTCTGGTTCTTTCATCTGCACCATGTGTTGTTACAGTTGCAAAGATAAAATTATTAAGGTAGTGGATAAAATTGCATCATGTAGGGATCTACCAAAAGCCTTGGCTCAATCTGACTGGTGTGACAGGGTATAGAGAACTATTCTAGAGGCCCCAAGCTTGGTCCTTTTTCTGTTCCATGTGATTTTGAGAACCCTCCCATACTCTGGCCCCTGAGGAGGTTAACAGACACACAGACAAGGCCCAGGGCTAGCTGCATTCATTTATTGAATCATAAAGCGAAGCAGAAATGAAGAGGGCAGAGGAAGCAGGGAAAAGGCTGGGGACTCTAGCTATTGAGCCCATGGTAGACCAGGAGATGGTCCTGTAGTCCATCCCCATATGGCACAAGCCCAGGAGAGAGGATCACACAGAAATCCTGTCCCCTTGCTGCAGGCCCCTGGACTAGGCTGACTGTAGAGAGATCTGGGCCTGGGCTGGAGCGGGGTGGTGGTGGTGGTGGTGGCATCTAACACTTCCTGCAGCTACTGCTGCCCATGCCTAAGAAGCCCACTCTGCAGGGTGCACCAGAACTGCAGGGTGCGCATAGGCCGGTGCTCACTGCCACGTTTCCAGTACAAGGGGCGCTGCAGACACTGCCTGTCACTGGCCTGGAACCAGACACACAGAGGTCCCCGCACACGACCCCGCCTCGGGAGCTGCTGACACCTGTGGACCAGAAAGGCGAGTCAGAATTAGGGACAGGGGAGCAAACCATTCACTTCCTTAAGGAACATCCTCATCCAGTCCCTGAGCAGTGGGATCAAAGTCAGGAATCTGCAGCTGAGGATTCTTTATTCAACTCCCAAAGCAGTGGTCTTTTTTTGCTGTCTGGCCCCAAATTCCTCCTGCTATAAAACTAGCCCATCCTTTTATGTTGGACTCCCACTGAGAATGTGCTTTCTAGATGCTGCCTTCTTCACAAAACAAGTAAATCTGTCCATACTGAATTCCAAATACTTACAGACATTAACAGCACCAACGCCTTCACACAACCTAAGTGTGGAAAAGAGAAAAAAAAAATAGATAATGGACCTGAGTAGCAAACGAGTTCCCGAAAGTCTATGTGCGGGGGGTGATTAAGGAATTAGGAGCCAAATTCTGAAGGAACATGCTGTCCATTACTAAACTTCCCCCCACACAGAGTGATACAGGTAGCATTGTCCCCAGATCCCTGACCATTGCTTAATCAAAGGCAAGAGTGAGGTTTGTGGGAAGGAGGGGGTTGGGAGGGGTGCTCAGGACACCCTGGGCTGACTCACCTCTGCTCCTCGCCTTCCAGCAGGCGCCTGTAGGTGGCGATCTCGATGTCCAGGCCCAGCTTGGAGTTCATGACCTCCTGGTACTCCTTGAGCAGGCAGGCCATGTCCTGCTTGGCCTTCTGCAGGGCCTCCTCCAGCCCTGCCAGCTTGCAGCGGGCATCGTTGAGGGCCGCCTCTCCCTGCTGCTCTGACTGGGTCACCGCGGTCTCCAGCTTGGTGTTCTGCGGGCCCAGGAGAGAACAAAGTGGTTTCAAATGCTCCATGGATTTCCTGGTTCATTACCTGGATGTGTGCAGTCTCAGCCACCCAATTAGAAACAGCCCCCAAATAAGGCTCTGCCCTGGGTGACCATCACCGGGGACTATAGGCAGACAGACAGGATGGATAATGAATGGTGCGGTTCAGACAGGGCACACACTGGCTGTGTGGCATGGGTGGGCCCCAGCCGCTCTGATGTGGGCACAGCTGAGCATACCTGGCACTTGGCGTTCTCAATCTCGGCTGTCAGCCTCTGGATGATGCGGTTCAGCTCGTTGATCTCCTCCCTGGTGCGGCGCAGGGTCTCCCCGTGCCGGATCACTGTGGCCTTGATCTCCTCACACTGGGGGAAGCAAAGGTGCTCACTCATGAGTCTCAGGAAGATACGACCATCCACTCATTCAGGACAGCACTGAAAACTATGTAGGTCCTACAGTGCTCAGCCTATTCAAGCGCTCAGGGCAGCCCTGTCCTGTCACTGCAACCAGAGACCATTGGCCTTCTACCATCCCTGGAGACCAGACCCTCCCAACAACAGAAACCTTTCCTGTTCGACACGTCACAGCCCTCCCACTGTCGTGTCTAGGAGGCCAATGTGCTGAGCCACTCACCCTGGTGCGGTACCAAGACTCAGCCTCTGCCCGGCTGCGGGTGGCAATGTCATCATACTGAGCCTTGATCTCAGCCACAACGCAGTCCAAGTTCAGTTCCCGGCTGTTGTCCATCTTGACGATGACAGAGGTGTCTGAGATGTGGGACTGGAGGACGCGTATCTCCTGCAGGAGGAGGCCAAGAGGAAGGACAACCATGTTATGTGGGCTCTTCCCATCCCGCAGTGTACCGGGTGAAATCACATAACTTTCTGTATAAATAAGTACCCAACAATGCCCACTTCTCAGATGCTTGTTTCTATTGCTTGTTAGTATTTAGGTGCATGTGAACCTAGGATACTTCTTAGAGCCAGCACATCCCAAGTGCTCCCCAGGGAACAGACTTCTGTGGAGGCCTGTGCATGTTCTCAACCACATCAAGCAAGACTATTGGCTGCCAGAGAAAACCATGGACCAGACATGGTCAAGGTTGTCTTGTGCTTTGGAGGCCTTTGTTGCACCCCATTGGCTCGAGGAAGGACACAGGATGGCTTCTCAGGCACAGCTGATCCTGAGGTCTCACCCTCTTGCCCTCACTACATTGATCTAGTTTGGAGCCTTCATTCTTCTTCCTGTTTCTTCCTTCTCTTTGCTCCTCTCTAGCCTGGAGTCTGGGCTCACAGGAGTCCTGGTTCCTGACTGTGGTGTTTGGGCAGGGATGCGGGACCCTATCACAGCCTCGCGTGTGCCCACCATGGCTGTGAGCCCCTCACCTCCTCATACAGTCGCCTCAGGAAATCAATCTCCTGAGTCAGGGCCTCCGCGTTGGCTTCCAGGTCTGACTTGCGCAGGTAGGCACAGTCCACGTCCTGTGGAGGGTGGCAAGAGACGGTGAGGCCAGCTCCCCCAGGCTGCTCTGGGGACCAGGCTGCAGTGTGGCAGGCCTCAGGGCAGGGCACAAGGGCACTAGGGGTGGGCTGGCTTGAGACACTCACCTTCTTCAGCGCTACAAACTCATTCTCTGCTGTGGCCCGAAGTGCAACTTCTTCCTCATACCTGAAGTGGAAGGGAAAGCAGACCCTGTCTGCACAGCCCTGGCTTGGCCGTGAAGCTGGGCCTGATTCCTGGCCCTGGCCCTGCTCCTCTGGCCTCCAAAGGAATAGGCAGGACATGGAGAGGTGGGGTGCAGCTCTTGGTCCCTAGGGTCTCCCTTTTCCTCCCCGCCCCCGGAGCATTCTCTCAGCACTCCCAACCTTATTGTTGATCGTAAGGACCCCTCTTCCCCCGTTCCTCTGCTGGACTGAACCAAGAGAATTAAATTACTTTGTCACTGAACACCTACATGCATAACTATGTTATTTTTGCCTACCAGTGGATTATAATCCACCAGAGACAGGGACCAAGTGTACACTTGGCCCAGGTCTGCTAACTCCCAGTCCAGGGTCCTGAACTTTGACAGTGGACTGAGGGGGACTAGAAAATACAAATTCTTCTGCAGAGTTTGGAGATGGAGAACAGGAGAGAGCAACAGTGATCTGAACTGATGCAGGGAGACCCGTTCAGTTCCATCTCTGGCTTCCATTAAGGGTTTCCTGGCTCAAGGAAATGGGGGAATTCAGGGATCCCAGGACCGACACTCTGGACTCATGGAGCTTCCACTGAGCCTTCCCGAGTTCCCCCAGGTGACAGACTCACTTCTTCTTGAAGCCCTCCAGGACCTCTTGCACGTGGTTGAGCTCTGCGGCCAGCCTCCCGCCGTCGGCCTCCACACACTCGGCCTCCCGCCTCAGCGTCTGGATGTAGCCCTCGAACAGAGGCTCCAGGTTGCTCTGACAGCACTCACGGTTCTGGTAGAACTGCAGCTTGGTCTCCAGCAGCTTGTTCTGCTGCTCCAGGAAGCGCACCTGCACAGAGGGGTGGCAAGGACAGGTCACAGGGTGCCTGCTGCCCCAAGGTCACTCTGGGAGTGATTGTGGGAGGTGGGCACCAGCTCAACAGGCATGAAGCAGGGTGGGTTGTGGGCTCCAGGCAACTTCTGCTGGTGCTGCTCTCAGATGAGCTGAGTTACCCACACGGGGCAGGGGCAGGTGGCACATGTCAAGTGGTGATCGTCAGGGGCCATCAGAGCTCAGCCCCCCTCTCTGAAGCCAGTGGGGCAGGAGCCCCTCAGGCTGTACAGCCAGACTCAGATCACAGAATGGGGTTTGGGGTAGAGGAGGTCACAGGCCATCTGGGGACAGCTCACTTCCCCTGGCCTCTCTCCCACTTCCCCTGGTGGTCAAGGACCCCTACCCTTCACAGGCAACACAGCCCTCCTCCCGGGGCTGCCCGGCCTCCCTGGTTCTAGCAGCAGCAGCAGCAGCAGCAAGCAAGCACATTGCTAGGGGACTTCCTGCAGTCTAGCCTGTGTCCAGCCCAGCCTGGCTGCACCTTTCCCCACAAGCTCAGCTTTTCTCAACTGTCTGTGGTATATTTCGGGGTCTGTAGTGTGTGTGTGTGTGTGTGTGTGTGTGTGTGTGTGTGTGTGTGTGCTCATGCGCGCACTCACGCAAGCATGCCTCTCTTCTCAGAGTGTGGTCTTGGTGAGGCAGAGGTCTTTCTGAATCCGATTCCCTTCTCAGGGCCCAGCCCTGGCGGTGCACAGGAGCAAGGGTTCAGGAAGGGTGCGATCCAGGACACCCACCTTGTCGATGAAGGCAGCGAACTTGCTGTTGAGGCCCTTGATCTGCTCCTTCTCCTCGTGCTTCACGCACTGCGCGTTGGGGTCGATGTCCAGGTTGAGGGGTGTGAGGAGAGTCTCGTTGACCGACACGCTGGTGATGCAGGGCGGGCTGGGGCCACAGATGCCGCCAGAGCGGTAGCCGAAGCTGCGCCCACAGGAGCCGCTGCGGAAGGCCCCGCAGACGCTGCGGCTGCCAAAGCCTCCTGTGAGGCCGCGGTAGCAGGAGATGCCTCGGTAGGGGGCGGCGGTGATGCAGCAGCGGCCTGGCCTGGGCCCGCAGGAAGCTGAGGCGCAGCTGAAGGCGCGGCCTCTGAATCCAGATCCGCAGGTCATGGTGCTTCTGAAGGTGTGTGCTGCAGGGGCCAGATGGGCTATCAGGAGTCCTGGTGGAAACTCCAGTGTGCTCCACCGTGCTCCTCAGTCCTATTTATGCTCGGGTTGTGTAGAGGCTGGGCTGCGAGGATGGGTTGGGGCAATTGAGCTTTATGGGCTTGGGCGGTTAGACCTGTGCAATGCTGCTCCAGAATGTGCTTTAATGGTGGAGTGGTACGCACCCTCTCCTTTGTACAGCACGCCAGCCCCTGAGCCCTCGGGGAGTCAGCATGTTTCATCTTCAAAGTGCCTGGCTGGCAGGGCATGCACCCTCTGTGGACAGGAGGGAAGGCAAGCAGGGAGCAGGGGGAGGCAGCCAGCGGAAGGGGCTGTGCCTTGAGTGTCGTGTGTGTGTGTGTGTGTGTGTGTGTGTGTGTGTGTGTGTTGCTCCCAGGAAAGGCTGGGATGTTAACAAATAATGCCTGGATATTTCCATGCCTCAGTGACCAGAATGCTGCTAAATACAGATCTGGATTTCCCCTGCCACAGATTCTGCAGTGGGCTGTTGAAATCCATCGATTTTCCTATCAGGACAGCAGTCAGCAGGTTGTTAGATATTTGTCTTTATGCTTTCTTCAACTTTCAATTAGAGAGGAGTTGAAATATAACAAATTCAAATAGGTGCTCTTGCTAAATTCATCAGCTGTTATAATTAGGTCACATCTGCCCAGTTATTTGGCAGTTTCAGAAAGTGTGGCATGTAACCCTTAAACACTTCAGCGCACATTTCTGATTTTCTTTTGGTGGAATTGGGTTTGACACCTGGACCTTGAGCAGACAAATGGTGTGCCACTGGGCTACACCACAGCCCCAACCCCTTCAGCACACATTTCTGACAAGGATCGTGCCATTTTCACATGCTAGAAAATTAACTGTAATTCCAAAGATCCACTCACTATGCGTTCCATAGTCAACATTCCAATTGTCCTAGGGTTAAAAAAAATAGATTATTTTTAACCTGTGGCTCTCTCCCTTGTATTTTCTATGACATGGAAAGTTAAATCTAAAGCTGTACAGCGTGGTAGGCAACAGGTACATGTGGCTATTTAAATTTAAATCAATTATAAATAAATTAATTAATAAAATATCTGGTTCCTCAGTTGCACTATCCATATGTAAATCCTCAATTGCTACATGTAAGTTGTGCCTACTTTATGGGAAGGTACAGATAAAAAGCATTTCCACTATCTCATAAGGTTCTTTTGGTTAGCACCAGGGTAGGAGCCTGACTAGTTTCAAATTACAACTTTTGGACAGAATACTTCCTAAGAGATGGTGTATAATTCTTACTGTATCTAGGAAACACAAAATGTCAGGTTGGTGGTACTAAATTGGATCACTTGAGTATGTTTTTCTCTTTGCGATTAGAACTCTGTAGGGAAACATATAAACATATTTTGATAACATTTTGATAAGTGTTTTTCTTTGCTATTGGTTGCCTACTTTACGATCATCATTGTATACTTACTCTTATGTTAACCCTTAAGTATGTGCTCTCACCCTCATCTTCCAGATGAGGAAACTGAGGCTTTCAGAGGTTAAATAATTTGCTCCAAATCTCCCAGGTGTTTAACAGTTGATCCAGGAAATGCACTGCTTTCTCACCTACCTATAAGCTTCGATAACTCCTGCATCTCCTAATCCCTGGAAAGGTTTGAAAGGGTAGAATAAGTTGTTCAGGCAGGGCTATTCATAGATTTGGTAGTGTCAGTCCAAGGAAGACAGGCAGAGTCTGGAGAGGGCTGGGATGGTTATATCAGGAGGGGCCACGAGGTGTGTGTGGGGTATGGGCAGCTGTTCTGGGGGTATTTGTGCAAGACAAGGAAGGTGATGAATGACATCAAGCTCAGCTACTTATATGCTTCTGGTGTACTGTAATTACTTTGATACATTATACTATATCCCATTTCTCATGAAACACCCCTACCCCTAATAGAACAGGTCCTAGAAATCTAGTTCATAAAGTACAGATGTTTGCACTAAATTGAAGAGAAAGGCTGGGTTCAACAGTGCATATGTAACCCCAGCAATTCAGGAGGCTGTGGCAGGAGAATCAAAAGTCTGAGGCCAGCCTGGGCAATTTAGTGACCCTTTCTCAAAAACAAAAATATCTGAGGATGTAGTTCAGTTGTAGAGTGCCTCTGGCTTAGATCCCCAGTGCGAAAACCAAACAGCACTGAACCAAACTGAGCAAAACCAGACCAAACCAAACCAAACCAAACCAAAGAACACATGCAAACAGAAACAAACACCAACCAACCAGCCAAACCAAAAACTGAAGAGAAGAAAAGAGCAGTACAATGCCAGGGCTCTCAACGCCTGGACCAGGGCAGGCAGAGCAGCTGTGGGGAGAGGGAGGGGTGGCTGAGAAGAAAAGAGCGAGAAGGAGGAAACTAGACTGCAGGGTTCGGTGTGTCTGTGAAAACATCCACAGTGGAACCTGTGACAGTACAGACGTAGGGGTCACAGATTGAGTCAGCCATCTGCTTATCCCAGAGGAGGGCGTGACACCTGCTGTCACTTTATGTGTTCCTGGCAGCTGGGCAGTGCCTCTGAAGCTCTTCATCTGCAGTTCTGGGCATTACCCACAATTGAGCAGCAGTGTCCCCGGCCAAGCAGCTGTCGGGGTGTCCCCAGGAGTGCTGACTCAAGGTGCACCTCACACGTATGTTACCTTTTCTGCCAGCGGAAGTCCATATAAAATTGCCATGCACTAACACGAGCTAATTACTAATGGCTAGTGCTTGATAAGCAACTCTTAAGAAACAAGCAGCAATTTGAAACAGGATACAAAGAAATTCAAATGTGCACTTCAGGAATTATTAAATGCTGCTAACATTTGAAGACCTAAAAGAACATTAAGTGAAAAATCTTGTGTTGAAGGAAGCTGTACTCTATGGCCTTGGCTCTGGCAGTGTAAAGTGAATACATTTTCACTTTGTGGTAAAATTATTTTATTGGAGTATGCCAACACACAGAAGAGTGTGCACCTATCCCCTAGAGAAGGAAATAGAACATGCCCGTCTCTTAGGAGCTTTCCAAGCAATGTGCTTCGTTCAGATTGATCCTTCTTCTTTCCTGACCTTCTGGATTTTGTGTTTAATTATTCTTTTTTTTTTTTTTTACAGTTTTCAAGCCAGTGTTATATTTTTCCATGACATGTTTTTTGGTTTTCTGTTTTTTATTTTATTAAAATATGTTTTTGCAGTACTAGGGATCAAACCCAGGGACTTTCTATCACCGAGCTACATCCCCAGCCCTTTTCTTTTGAGATGGGACATCACTAAATCGCCCAGGCCGGCCTTGAACTTGAAATCCTCCTGCCTTAGATTCCCAAGTAGCTGGGGTTACAGGTGTGTGCCACTGTCCCTGGGAATTTTCATTCCTTCTTTTCCTGACTTTTTGGTTTTTTGTTTTAATTTTTTTTTTTTTTTTTTTTTTTTTACAGTTTTCAAGCCAGTGTTATATTTTTCCATGACATGTTTTTTGGTTTTCTGTTTTTTATTTTATTAAAATATGTTTTTGCAGTACTAGGGATCAAACCCAGGGACTTTCTATCACCGAGCTACATCCCCAGCCCTTTTCTTTTGAGATGGGACATCACTAAATCGCCCAGGCCGGCCTTGAACTTGAAATCCTCCTGCCTTAGATTCCCAAGTAGCTGGGGTTACAGGTGTGTGCCACTGTCCCTGGGAATTTTCCAGTTTTTGAGCTTCATATAAGTAAATGGAAGCATATTGTATTATTATTATTATTATTATTTTGCATCTGGTTTCTTTTGTCCAAGCTTGCTTCCCGTAGTTGCTGTGTGTCATTTTCCTCTTCTATCCTGATAGGCTCAGAAATATTTTTGGAGTTCTGCTGTGGATGTTCTTTTCCATATCTTTTCCTGCATCTGTGAAAGAGTTTTTCTAGGGTATATGCTTGTTTTTTAGTTATATAAGAATCATATTTTTAGTGTAGAAAACTATTTTATAAATATTCTAACTTCATATATCTTGATTTTCATCTTCATAGTTATTACCATCTTAAGATTCTCTCATGCTTTAACTCATGTAATTCGTACAATTATCCCTGACGCTGATGTTTCTATACACTGAAGCCTGGGGAAGTTAAGAGACTTGCTCAGGTATGAGTTAGAGATAGTTGGTGCTCAGAGCCTGATGTGCTTGATTTGTATTAACACAAAAAAACCACATACTTATCTCTCCCCATTCCCTCTTCAAGGCCTTGCAGGGTGGTCTCAGAGTTTGGGGCCAGAAATTGGAGAACTCACCCTTTTTCTTGGTACAGAAAAGCTGGACATGTATCCACATTATTAACCAAAATGCTAACCCTGCAACAAATCGGTGTGTATACATATTTTATTTGTGGATTTAATCCAAGGGCTTGGCACACAGTAGGTGCTCAGTAAATATTTGGTGAATGAATAAAGTGAGTACCAGCTGCATATTAAATGCTGAATAATGGAGCCAGCAAAGCTTGGTGGCTAATTGTGAAAAGCTTTGTGGTAGGATGGGGTGGGGACCAAAGCAGCCTGTGCTGGAGGGTGGAGCTAGGGAAGGGTGACCTTTCTTGCTGAGAGCTAGAGAAGGAATGAATGTGACCTTGACCACAGTGAGCCAGCCAATGAAGGCACGGATCCTGAAGGCCTTGGGACAGAGTGAAGGTGGGGTGTATGGGCTGGACTGGAGAAGAAAGGAGGTGTGGATGAGAGGGACTTTCTAGGGAAAGGGGGAGAAGGAGACACTTAGTTTATTGCCTGTTACTCTGAGGCGCTGCTTGGAAAAAAGGGGAGGAGGCTGTTTGGGGGGTGGAGAACAAAAGGGAGAGGAGATCTGGAGAGATGGTTGAAAGAGGATAGAAGCAGAGGACAGTGGAGGAAAAGTGGAAAAAGACAAGGGGGGCTGTGTGTCTGGGGGACACTCCAGGAGTGGAAAAGCTGAGGAGGAGGTCGATGGGGGAAGAGGCACAACACCGAGGGCAAGGTGCAGGTTCACCTAAGAAAGTGAGCAGCCTCAGCTCTGGATTTCTATCAATGGACACTCGCAGGGTAGGGACAAAACCTGGGGGAGTCAGAGGGGCTCAGCTTGGTTGACGGGATGGATCCTACCAGGTAGAGCTCCTGAGCCAGGTTCCAGTCCCACCTATGCTTCCCATGCGGGCCTTTGGCCCTTTCGCCCAGTGGAACCCTCTTCTGGTGAGTTCTGATAGATAACTGGCCAGTGTCCCAGCCTGTGTTGGCCGAGGAGGCAAGGCTCTGATGTACCTCTCTCCCCAACTCACCAGCCCAACCACCCCACCTAGTGACCTGGTCTGAGGTCACGAATAGCTCACCAGCCACACTCTGCCAACCCTCACCTTCCCTCCCTGAAAAGCAGCAAGGTTAGAAAGAAAGCAGGAGCTGTAAGGTTACAAAGACTACAGCCCCTTGGACATCCGCAAGCCAACAGATGTTTTGCTTTCTCTAGATGTGGACCCCAAAGGCTGCCTCACAGCCTGCAGGCTCAAATAGTCTCAAGTCTCAGGGGTGAGACTGGCTCTGCTTCCCAGCTCTCTGCCTCAAGTGGCTTAATTCCTCTTTCTCCAGTGTCAGTGTCTTATGATCTATCACACTCCTGCAAGGGCCCTTGGACTCCTCTGCTGTCCACCCCCTGGCCTTGTCTCACTCTGTTCTGCTCTCTAAAATATCTCCACGCACAACTTTTCACTGACACTGTTCTGTTTGCATCCTCACCCTTCACAGGGAGGCTTCCTTGCCTTTTCCCCAGCCCAGCTGCATTTCACATTGTCCCAGAAAGGACACTTCAGTAGGTACTGTTTTCCTCAGTGTCTGGCAATATATCCAAAGAGCAGCCCTCTCCAGACTTCTGGCTTTTCTCAAGGATGTGAATGCATCTTCTCTGTCACACTGGGAGCTCTGATCCATGTTTCCTTCCTCCTCTTAGCAACTCTCCCACTCCCAAATTATGACAGCATTCAGCAGACACCTGAGGCCTGTAGACCACAGAATCCTTAATGTCCCTGGAAGATGTGTCTATTCTTAGTGAACATGCATGCATCCTGGGGAATGAGCCTCACAGCACTTTCTACAGAAGTAGGATGGACCCAAGGCAACTTTGAACAAAGACTTCTTAATGTTGAACTATCCAGTGCTCTCATTCTTTCCAGGCATCCCTTGAAACAAGGTTTACTTGGACAGAAAGAAGAAACCAATGTCCAGAACAGAAGCTTTTTCCGTTTAGTCTGTCTCCACAAACAAGGTAGCCAGTCCAGAGGGGTTGTTTCCTTTGATATGAAGCTTCCCTAAATGGAGAAGCCAAATTGGAACTCTTAGGAACAGGGCTACCTGCTCTCCCTCCAGGGAGATCTTCCTCAGCTCCAAATTCTATTTCTCCAGTTACAGTGAAGGCTTGCCTTTTCTTGCTCTCTTTAGAGTTCCATTGTAGGCGGGTCTATTATAAGGGCACATCCTCCACCTTCAGCCTTATGATGTCCTATCTCCTGGCTACAAACCAATCAGGAGGCTTCAGGGTCAGGCAAAAAGCAAGATGAGTGAACATGATACTATTTGATACATGATTAAGGTTTTCTGAGAGTCTGTTAAGGCTAAACAATAAATACAAAATTATGAATGAGTCACAGGTTACTGGCTTTTCAGATTATCCAAAGTTTTTCTTTTCTACTAGTGTGATTGCTCAAGGACTAGGGACAGTTTTTCTTTGCCTAAGACAAGGGTTTCTCAATGAACTGTCCTTGGGGCAGTCAAGGTGGACTGAGGATTAGAGAAGGGGCATTTGGGTTCTTTTCCAGGACAGAGAGAATAATCTGGTGAAAAGCTTCAGTCTTTCCTTCTCCTTGGCAGGCTCACAGGGTAGAATAACAGTAGAAAACATCTATTGAATACTTTCTACCTGCAAGATGCTGTGTTAAGCATTGCCCATGCATTGTTTTATTTAATTCCCCATCTAGTCCTTTAGGTAGGTACTATTAATAGTAATTGAACATAAGTGGTTTAGAAACATGGGTGGATATATCCCATCAATCCTGCCAATATAGCCACAGCAGCTACAACAAAAACAAATATGATTAAACACTTAGAGTGTGACAGGCTCAGTTCCAAGTGCTTTACATGAACTCATTCTTTTAGTCCTTATAACAGTTTTATGAGGTTGGGTAAATTATTGTCTCCACTTTGTAAATCATGAATGAGGTACAGAGAGGTTAAGTAATTGCCTCAAGTTATTCAGTTAGAGAGTGGCAGAACTTGAATTTGTAACTAGGCAGTTTGAGATCTGGGTCTGTATTCTCCAATGATATGCTATCTATTTCCATTTTTAGTTTTAGTTTTTCTTGTTAAGTTTATTGGTACATTTAAAGCAAACAGTGCAGTTACATTGATCATTGGGATCTTGTACCTTTACATGATATGTCTTAGTTCTTATTTTTTCCCCATACTCCTGCCCTCCCTTCAGCCCCTTCATCCTTCCCTATTTACAAAGACTTTGTTTCCATTTTCCATTTTTAAATTATCATTGCAATTAAGAAGGAATTTTAGGCTGGGTGTGGTGGCACACACCTGTCATAGCAGTGTTTGGGAGACTGAAGCAGGAGTATCAGCATGAGTTTTGTTCGAGGCCTGCCTAGGCTATGTACTGAGTGACATAGCAAGGCCCTGTCTCAGGAAAAAAAAAAAAGAATTTTACAGTGCTTGAGTGTACATATCCTTACATACAAGGCCATGTAATAATAATTATGTATGCAAAACAATATGATATACTTTAATATTTTCTATTCTATTATATTTGATTTCATTGTACTATATTTTATGAAAATTAAGTTCTGGCCACTCCCATTCATGGGCTATGATATGAACTCTGAAGAGACCTCCTGGGGCTAACTGCCCCTTGCAGATTATGATAAGGCCACCTCCACTGTGCTCTGGAGTTTACTCATCATGTGTACACCTCTGTGAATCTCCCAGGCAGAAGTGGGAGGCAAAACCAAAACCCATTTTCCATAAGAGGGAAGCATCCTATCACCACCAGGTTACCAGAGCTCAGAGGTCAGCATCTTGTTCCCTATCCAGGCCTTGGGAGGACTCAGGATACTGCTCTGTTAGATTTCATACTCTGAGGAAAACACTATATAGATTTATAACTGTGGTGCCCACTCCATGCCTTGGAGGAAACACAGCAGCCTGAGGTGAAAGGCAGACATTTGAACCTTGTTGGGGCCTTGCTGGATGTAATTGTTGGGCTTTCCTTGGCCCAGAGAGCCATTGTGCACTGTCTTCCCCAGCCTGGTGGAGGATCCCAAGGGGGAAGACTGCCTCTTCTCGGAACAGGCTGGCCAAGGTGGCCTGATCTGGGTGAGGGCAAGGGTGGATGAGGTGCAGATGGGCATCTGTGAGCAAGCACCTGTGTGATTGTGGGAAGAGTGGTCTGTGAGGAGAGCAGGGTGGGGGGAGGAGGGATGGAAGGGATGAGGGTATGTTCATAGTTGGGAACAGGTGTGAAGGTGCTGGTTTGGTGGGTTGGTGTGGGTGACCGAGTTGTAGAAAGAGACCATCTGGACCAAAGAAACCTAAGCGGCCCAAGCTCCACATCGTCTGATCGCCCAGTGGCCCATTCAGCACCAGGGACAGCGGCACCGACCTCCCCCAAAGGGGCAGACCTCCTCTCTTCATTCCAACCTGAATCACAGCCTACAGTGTCTCCCAGCCCCTTAGGTTCTGTGTATTAGGAGGTGAGCTGGGTGCGGGGGAGGTGAGCTGGCCCTTTGAAGAAGAAAATTGTGCCGTTTAAGGCAAAGGACCATAAACATCTGGCCTCAGCTGGACACCAATTAAACACATTTAGAAAGGAAGACAGCAGCTAAAAAACCCAAGCCCATAAAGGTTTCTAATTGCTCCTGATCACGTGGCTCCCATGTATATAAAAGGCCTACAGATGTGGGCAAAGGAATCAGCTGAACCCACGTCCACTGTACCCTCCATTTGGACGTCTCCAAGTCAGAGTCTCCTGTCCCCACTGAAAGCATCATGACTTGTGGATCTTACTGTGGTGGCCGCGCCTTCAGCTGCGCCTCAGCTTCCTGCGGGCCCAGGCCAGGCCGCTGCTGCATCACCGCCGCCCCCTACCGAGGCATCTCCTGCTACCGCGGCCTCACAGGAGGCTTTGGCAGCCGCAGCGTCTGCGGGGCCTTCCGCAGCGGCTCCTGTGGACGCAGCTTCGGCTACCGCTCAGGCGGCATCTGCGGCCCCAGCCCGCCCTGCATCACCAGCGTGTCGGTCAACGAGAGCCTCCTCACCCCCCTCAACCTGGACATCGACCCCAACGCGCAGTGCGTGAAGCACGAGGAGAAGGAGCAGATCAAGTGCCTCAACAGCAAGTTCGCTGCCTTCATCGACAAGGTGGGTGTCCTGGATCGCACCCTTCCTGAACCCTTGCTCCTGTGCACCGCCAGGGCTGGGCCCTGAGAAGGGAATCGGATTCAGAAAGACCTCTGCCTCACCAAGACCACACTCTGAGAAGAGAGGCATGCTTGCGTGAGTGCGCGCATGAGCACACACACACACACACACACACACACACACACACACACACACACACTACAGACCCCGAAATATACCACAGACAGTTGAGAAAAGCTGAGCTTGTGGGGAAAGGTGCAGCCAGGCTGGGCTGGACACAGGCTAGACTGCAGGAAGTCCCCTAGCAATGTGCTTGCTTGCTGCTGCTGCTGCTGCTGCTAGAACCAGGGAGGCCGGGCAGCCCCGGGAGGAGGGCTGTGTTGCCTGTGAAGGGTAGGGGTCCTTGACCACCAGGGGAAGTGGGAGAGAGGCCAGGGGAAGTGAGCTGTCCCCAGATGGCCTGTGACCTCCTCTACCCCAAACCCCATTCTGTGATCTGAGTCTGGCTGTACAGCCTGAGGGGCTCCTGCCCCACTGGCTTCAGAGAGGGGGGCTGAGCTCTGATGGCCCCTGACGATCACCACTTGACATGTGCCACCTGCCCCTGCCCCGTGTGGGTAACTCAGCTCATCTGAGAGCAGCACCAGCAGAAGTTGCCTGGAGCCCACAACCCACCCTGCTTCATGCCTGTTGAGCTGGTGCCCACCTCCCACAATCACTCCCAGAGTGACCTTGGGGCAGCAGGCACCCTGTGACCTGTCCTTGCCACCCCTCTGTGCAGGTGCGCTTCCTGGAGCAGCAGAACAAGCTGCTGGAGACCAAGCTGCAGTTCTACCAGAACCGCGAGTGCTGCCAGAGCAACCTGGAGCCTCTGTTCGAGGGCTACATCCAGACGCTGAGGCGGGAGGCCGAGTGTGTGGAGGCTGACAGTGGGAGGTTGGCTGCAGAGCTCAACCATGCGCAGGAGGTGCTGGAGGGCTTCAAGAAGAAGTGAGTATGGCTGGATGAGGTGTTGAGGCACGGGGGATGCTTGGGTTGCCTAGGGCACTGACTCTAAGAGAGTCCAAAGAGAATAGTGGGTCAATAGCAGCAGGCTTACAGAGTTGCAGGGTGCATATTTATGGGCCTCCACAGATGACTTTAGAGCATCCCTAGGCAAGGGGATGGAAAGTCCAGCTTAGCCCTTTACATTCCCAACTCAAAGTCAGGAGCAAGAACCCCAGACACAGAGCAGAAAGGACTAAGCAGGACTGCTGGGCCTAGCTGTGTGTGGGGTTCGTCCACTACCTCCTCACTGGTGTGAAGTGGGAGGATACTGGGAAGCCCTGCCTTTCCTTGACCCCCCTTTTCTTCTGCCTAGGTATGAGGAAGAAGTTTCTCTGAGAGCCACAGCTGAGAATGAGTTTGTGGCTCTGAAGAAGGCAAGTAGCATGGGAATGGGAAGCAGAGACACAAGGGTCTCAGGACAGGCTTATCTTGGGGAGACCAGGGCACTCAACTTCGGTGTGGGCTGCAGTGACATTTCCATATCAGAATGGGAAATTCCCAGACAGGCAGGGCATTGAATGATCCATCCAGGGCTTGGACCTTGTATACTCACTGACACCTGCCCTAGGCAGGGGAGTGGCTGTACCGACCTCCGCTTCAGAGGCTGTGATCTATGGCTGGGGTCCCAAGAAACCACGGAGCTGCAGATTGTCCGAGGGACACTGTGGTCTACTCAGCATTCCAGAAGTCTGAGTAGGAAACAAGGAGCCACCTCCTGGGTCTCGGAGAGAATGAGGGAGAAGCAAGAGTGGCCAGGCAGCCTCTTGGAGGACTGGTAGGGGTGGCAGGGTCAGGTGGCGGAACTGGGAGTGACCTGGGAAGGCTGCGTGCAAGCAGGACAGGGTCAGAGGCAGAGATGAGAGGACTGACAGGTGGGTGAGCTGTTGTGAAGGGCCCCAGGGCTTGTTCTGACAGGGAGGCGGTGCCGGGGGCATTCTGGGCAAGGGGAAGATGAGAAGAAAGAGATGGCTTAATACAGGGATGCTACAGACCTCCCCCACCACCTTGCACGGTCTGGGTAAGAACAGAGAGGAGTTTGTAACACTGTCAGCCAGACTCTCTGGGCTCGAACATCTCCACCTTCCTAGGACGTGGACTATGCCTACCTGCGCAGGTCAGACCTGGAGGCCAACGCAGAGGCCCTGACGCAGGAGATCGACTTCCTGAGGAGACTGTATGAGGAGGTGAGGGGCTCACAGCAATGGTGGGCACATGTAGGGCTCTGATAGGGTCCCCCATCCCTGCCCAAACACCACAGTCAGGAACCAGAGGAGCAAGGAGAGGGAAGGAACAGGAAGAAGAATGCGGAATAGAAAGTGGACGAGTTCAGTGAGGACAAGAGTGTGAGCCTTCCAGGGCAGCTGCGCCCTGTGTCCTCTTCGGAGCCAGTGGGGTACAACAGAGGACTCCAAAACACTAGACAGACATGGCCCTTGTTTGGGGCCCAGAGTTTTCTCTGGTAGCCAATATTGATGTGATTGGTCCAGGAAACATGCACAGACTCCAACACCTGGTATGTCCCCTGGGGATCACACAGGAAGTAGCCTAGGTTCACATGCACTTGCATAGTTCCAGAAATAAGCATCTGGGAAGTGGGCATTGCTGGGTACTTATTTATACAGAAAGCTATGGGATTTCACCCAGGGCTTTCGGCTCCAAGCCTGGGAGGTGGGCTGAAGGGCAAGCAGCCAAGGAATTACAGGCACTGCAGGATGGGAAGAGCCCACATAACGTGGTTGTCCTTCCTCTTGGCCTCCTCCTGCAGGAGATCCGCGTCCTCCAGTCCCACATCTCAGACACCTCTGTCATCGTCAAGATGGACAACAGCCGGGAACTGAACATGGACTGCGTTGTGGCTGAGATCAAGGCTCAGTATGATGACATTGCCACCCGCAGCCGGGCAGAGGCTGAGTCTTGGTACCGCACCAGGGTGAGTGGCTCAGCACATCGGCCTCCTAGACACGACAGTGGGAGGGCTGTGACGTGTCGAACAGGAAAGGTTTCTGTTGTCGGGAGGGTCTGGTCTCCAGGGATGGTACAAGGGCAATGGTCTCTGGTTGCAGTGACAGGACAGGGCTACCCTGAGTGCTTGAATAGGCTGAGCACTGTAGGACCTACATAGTTTTCAGTGCTGTCCTGAATGAGTGGATGGTCGTATCTTCCTGAGACTCATGAGTGAGCACCTTTGCTTCCCCCAGTGTGAGGAGATCAAGGCCACAGTGATCCGGCACGGGGAGACCCTGCGCCGCACCAGGGAGGAGATCAACGAGCTGAACCGCATCATCCAGAGGCTGACAGCCGAGATTGAGAACGCCAAGTGCCAGGTATGCTCAGCTGTGCCCACATCAGAGCGGCTGGGGCCCACCCATGCCACACAGCCAGCGTGTGCCCTGTCTGAACCGCACCATTCATTATCCATCCTGTCTGTCTGCCTATAGTCCCCGGTGATGGTCACCCAGGGCAGAGCCTTATTTGGGGGCTGTTTCTAATTGGGTGGCTGAGACTGCACACATCCAGGTAATGAACCAGGAAATCCATGGAGCATTTGAAACCACTTTGTTCTCTCCTGGGCCCGCAGAACACCAAGCTGGAGACCGCGGTGACCCAGTCAGAGCAGCAGGGAGAGGCGGCCCTCAACGATGCCCGCTGCAAGCTGGCAGGGCTGGAGGAGGCCCTGCAGAAGGCCAAGCAGGACATGGCCTGCCTGCTCAAGGAGTACCAGGAGGTCATGAACTCCAAGCTGGGCCTGGACATCGAGATCGCCACCTACAGGCGCCTGCTGGAGGGCGAGGAGCAGAGGTGGGTTTTGTAGGTTTTTTTTTGGTGTTTTGAAACTCTACCAGCTCTGCCTGGGTTTTCAGAGTGCCTGTCTCTCCTACTTCTGAGACCACCAACGTCTGTTTCCATTCCTCACCATCCTGCAACTGTACAGGAAATTTGTGTAAGTCCTTTGAGTATGATCTATCCCCATCTGAATTTCTCATGCTTACCCAGCCCCTGATGTGGAGTTGGCACCTGCTCTACATGTGACTCACCTTGTGATTTCTGTTCTGAAAACCTACTTCAATCCTGAGGCCACCTTCCTTGCTTGGTGCATTCTGTCTCCCAGCCCTGGTTCTGTGTGCCCCTCGGGATTCCAGCTGTCTTCCTCAAGGGGCTCTGGCCCAGCCCTATCCCCAGCTCTGGAATCCAGATGTATCTCATAATCTCTTCCTCAGATAGGAGATTCCATCCACTCCCACTCATCTGTTGTAATTACAATGGGTATCTCAGAGTGGGTCCATTGCAGCAGTGGGACTGGAGTAGACAGAGTGCAGAGGCCTGTGTCTTGAAGCAGGTGTGCCTGTACTCAGGGGTTTTACTTATTTGTTTGCTTCAGAGATGGGGGAGAAGACACTGGTCGTTCAGCCTTCTGATGGCTGGAGGGCAGCTATTTGACAAGCACATTGCAGATAACTCTCCAGAATGAGAGCTCATTGTTTGATCTGGGCTTGTTTCACCTAGTTGGTCAGTTTGTCCTGCCTGGAGCTGTTCTTCTCCTGTCATCCAAGCCCTAGGCCTTGGGAGAGGTGGCAGATGGTAGGATACCAAAGGAGCATCCTGTATATTTGGGAGATAGGGAACACGGGCTTGGTAGCTGGAGGTCTAAGTGATGACATGGTAAGACCCCCAACAAACTCATGGAGTTGTGTAGGAAAACTCAGAGGCAGTGGGTGATGGGGCTTGGGAGGTTTCATAAGGAGAAACCTCCCTTATGTAGTAATAATCGAGGTGGAGAGACCGTGGAGATAGCACTGGAAATCATGTGGCCCACCTACCTGCCACAGAAAGCTCTTCGATTAAAGGCGGAAGCTTTGGTGTAGTTACCTAGGAAACCTGGATAAGAGATGGTTTATTTGATGGTGGCTGCAGAGTCTTCCTTTATCTGAGGCCTGTTTGGCCAACCCTTTGCCACTCACTGTGTGTCGGGACAGCTCTGCTTGCTTCCCTTGGGAGACACTGTTGTGTTGGAGGAAACGCAGGCTGCATGGAGTCGGGGGGCCTGAATTCTAGTCCCGCTGCTGTGATTGGTCATTTCCTCTCTGGGTCTCAGTTTCTCCACCCATGAAATGAGAGAGTTGTTGTAGTACTCTCTGAGCCTTCTTCACATGGGCTCTCAAATCCCATTCATTCATCCATCAGTTATTAATGCGTCAGCTTTTAGGGAGCGGGGAGAACAGACAAAAACTTCTACCCTCCCCTAGGCCTACATTCCAGTGACAGTGATCAGGGCAGATTTAGGAGGTTCCTTCTGCTCCCCTCAAACACTCTTGTAATTCAACCGGGACCAACACAGAAGCTGTTAGCAGCTGACAGTTCTTGAGGGTACTTGGTCACTGAGTGATGTGAATATTGGAGCAGATTTTCCTAGTGAGGAAACCCAGACCCAGGGCAGTTAAGACTCCGGGTGCAGCAGAGAGCAGGGTGTTCTCAGATGGTGTCTTCAGATTGTCTCCCCTGCAGTGCTTTGTTCCTGGCTTAGCTGTTTCTTATGTCTCCCTCTTGGCAAGTGTCCCAAAGGAAGGGCACAGATCTTACCTTGCACCTGATTGCTGGTTCCCGTGGCTTTCCCATGGCACTGACTGTCCCCTTTCCTCTCCCACAGGCTGTGTGAAGGCGTTGGCTCCGTCAGTGTGTGTAAGTAGTCCCAGCTGCCCCCTTGTTCAGTGGGGGTGGCCTGAGGGCCTTTGGGGAGGGGCACTTGTGCTTGCTACAGGACTGCCAGGCCATGGCAGTGCCTGATGGCTGCTCCGTGTTCTTTCCCCATTCAGGCGTCAGCAGCTCCCGAGGTGGCATCGCCTGTGGCGATCTCTGTGCTTCCAGTACTTCTCCCGCTGTCAACACCAGAGTCTGCAGCGCACCCAGCGGAAACGTGGTGGTAGGCGCGCCCAACGCCTGTGCCCCCTGTGCCGGTGTCAGCGCCTGCAGCAGTGGCTGTAAGAAGTGCTAGGAGGCTGCAGCTGCTGAAAGCAATGGTCCCCCACTACCACCTTCCATGCAGCCAGGACCTGAGCCACCCAAACACACCTCTGCCACCTGTCTCCCGCAACCCGCTCCCCGATGCGCATACCTGCAAGCCCTTCTTGCCCGCTTGTCTCTGGGTGCCAAGCATAGGCAGGGGCCTACCTGGGTCTCTTTCTGTGACCTTTTCTAGTAGTCAGTTTGTTCTTCTGAGGAGTCATCCTTTTCTCCTGCCGCCTGTTGTTTTGCTGGATTCATTGGTCCTGCCTGACCCTTTCCCCTGAACTTGAAGGCACAGGGCAGGCCCCAACATCTGCCAGTCAGCACTTCGGGAGGTCTGCCCATGTGCTTCTGCCTGGGAACAGAGAAGGGGAGCCGTCACTGTTGCTGGTTTCCTCTAACTGTGGGAGGGATCTCTCCCAGGGAGGGAGAGCACCTTCGTTCCAGGGCTGCCTGCAGAAGCTTCTAAAAAGCCAATGACTCAGCTGCCTGCATGTCCATCTTTGTCTCACTCTGTGTTCCCAATAAACTCACTGCAGCAAATCAAACCTGCCTCCTCAGAGTCTGCAAAATGCCCTGGTCCTGCTGTGACAGGTGCCCCTGCCAGAGGGCTCCTTGGGACCTGGCCATGCCCCAGGTGTTTTTAGTAGGTGAGAATGCCTGCCCAAATGCTCTGCAACTGGCCTGGAGACACCTAGCCCTTGTGGAAAATGATGGCCAATTTTTGGGCAGGCACTCTTGTGGACTCTAGGTTTCTTTAACCAGGAAGTCTGAGTGGCAGCACTATGGGCTATGTGGGCTGGGTAACCCTTCTGGAGCTGCCCTGTGCATATTCTGGTATTGCTACCTTCTAGCCATTAGATGCTGGCAGCACTCACTGCCCCTTACTGTGATGTCTCTAGATGTAGCTAGATGTCCTCAAGATCTCCAAGCACGTGCAAAACCAAAAGTACATATCTCTGGCCTGCATCCAACCTCATTTGCATTGCAGTTTTGTCCCCCCTCCCTGGGCTTTAAGTGCTGTGACAATTCCCGTAAAAACTTTGTATGATCAAAAACTCCTCCTCCTATTGAGTAGACCAAGTCAGGCTCCCTGTCGGACCATGATTCCTGCCAGTCTTTAGCTCCAGGTACTTTCATAATCCCAGGACTTCAAAAGACCCAACATCTGCCTCTACTGGAGCTCCAAGCTCATCAAACTGGTATGTGTACCTTTGCATTTTTTGTTTTTAAAAAATCTTATTTTTGTTATTCCTTTTGAGTATTCTGCCTGATTCTTTGTTTGGAATGCGAAGAGCCTAGAACTAACTTCCCTGAAACCCCATCCTGCACAACAAATCACTCCAGAAGGAGACGCTTGGAACAGCATTGATCACCTCTCATGATTCTGGGGACCCTCTAGGTAGTTCCTCTCCTTTGCATGTTTGGGGTGTGAAGATGGCTGGAAGGTGGCTGAAAGTGCCCTCAGTCACAGGGTTAGATTGGACTCTGGCCACTAGCTGGGATCTTAGTTGTCCTGGGGCTCTTGTCCAGCATGTGTTTGTCAGTGTCTAAAGAGAAGATGAACAGAGAAAGCTAATATAAAGAGCAAAAACTCTAAAGAATAAAGAGGCTGTGTCTAGGGAGACTGTCCAGTAGTAAGCACTTGTGTGACATATGAAAGACCCTGGGTTCAATTCACAGTGCCACAAACAAACAAAAACAAACAAAAAAACACTCTACAGGGGAGCTGTAGACACGAGGAGCAGTCCTTACACCTTTTCTCCTGTGTCTAATGGTGCTTTCCTCATTGTCTATACAGCCTTCACTAATTGCCTTCCTGAGGACGTTCAGGTTCAACTTGATGCCTGGTCACAAACTAATGTCACAGCTTTAGGTTTTGTTACAGCAGCACCCCTCTACCAGGTACCAACTTCTCCACTTAGCTATGGTGATGTAACAAACTACCCCCAAATATAATGGCTTAAGATAATAAAATTTTCAAGATTGTGTGGATTTATGAGTGTTTTTTTTTTCTTTCTGTTTCTTATTGGCTGGGGTTCTAGGATGGATGGGAGGGCCAAAATGGCTTCACTCAGACAGCATGCATTTGATGCTGGCCAGTAGTTGAGAGCTCAGCTGCAGTGATGGCTGGCAGCCCCTGTTCTCCCTCATGTGCTGAGCACAGAAGTTCTGGAATGGCCCTTCACCTACATTCTAGTCAGCTTGTCAGAGCAACCCCAGGGCCAGCTCAGGTCCAGGAGGAGGGGAAATGGCTCTTTCTTTGCTATGAAGAGCAGCAGATGCACAGAGGGGAGGAATTGCTGGGGGGGCATTTCTGGCTCACTTTCTTTCTTTCTTTCTTTCTTGGTACTGGGGATTGAACTTAGGACCTTGCACTTGCAAGGCAAGGCATTTCTGGCTCACTTTCTTTCTTTCTTTCTTTCTTTCTTGGTACTGGGGATTGAACTTAGGACCTTGCACTTGCAAGGCAGGTGGTGGAACCACTGAGCTAAATCCGAGGCCCAGCCATTTTTGAAGAGAGCTACCACATGAGCATTAAATGAAACAATTAAAATTAAAGTCTGGAGTACAGTGTAGCACAATAGCATACATAGCAGCACTCCTAGCCTCTGAGTAGAGGAGATAAAGCAGAGTGGTAGGAAAAGCCAAGTCTGGAGGCTTAGGCTCTTGTTCTGGTTTTGTCACCAAGAGTGTGTAGTCAAAGCCCTTCACTTTTGGAACCTTAGCTAATGTACCCATGTGAAAAATGTGGAGGGGGTGACACCAGCAGCCCAATGAATGAGCAGAGCAGGGCAGGTTCCAAGGGGCCATTACTCGGGAACTGTCACTACTGTGGCTGGCCTTGTGTCAAGCTTAGTAAGAGGCATCTGTTGGCCAGATGGCTTATCTTTCTCAGAAGCCAGCAGGAGAGCTTCAGAGAAGAGGCAGCTGGCTCTCTGTGGAACTTGATTATAGGCCTTGCTACTTGGCCTGTATCATCTACTGCTGCAAGATGATTGGCAAGAGCCTGAAGTAGGGTGAGAGATAACCTTAGATGAAGAGAGCTTTTATGGGTGGGGCTGTTAGCAGGAGGGGACAGTAGGGGTGAGGAGGAAGGACTTAGGGACTCAGGACCAGAGGGTCTGACAGAGGGAGAGTTTGCAAAGTCACTCTGGACAGGTTCCTTGGGCTGTGAAACAGGAGGGGAAAGGCCAAGACTCAAAGGTTAGGGAGCAGGAGGAGAGAAGGTGGCAGGGAGCTGAAGGAGTTTGTTGTGGAGCCTAGAGGGTCTTCATGAGACAGTTAGAAACCACCACGGTGGGACAAAGGCTGAAGCAACAAAATAAAACACTGGGCACAGCAACCTATTACCCTTTGTACCATGACAGGTTGTTTCTCCACATTTGTGCTCTTTTCGCCAGACTTCTCATGAGACTGATAAAAACCACAGAAGCAGAATGTTTGCACAAATTAAGGGAATTGCCACTGAGGAAAAACATAAACCTTCAGCTTGACCTGACCTTCGTTGACTTAAAGATTACTGATTTTGGAGGCCACATAGCTGGGTAATGCATTGTTACAGTTCGTATCTAGAGGTCCCCCCAAAGCCTCATGTGCTCAGAGGTGGGCTTCTGGAAGGTGATTGGATGGTGGAGGAAATGGTAGGTGATTCACGGTTAGGAAGAGGGTCGGAAGAGGCAGGTCACAGCAGGTGTGACTTGGAAGGGTGCATCTCCCTCCCTGTATCCTGCCTTCTCTCTCTGCTTCCTGGATGCCATGATGTGAGCAGCTTCCCCTCTGCTATTCCCTTTGCCATGCTGTCCTGCCTTGGAGCCAGCCAACCCTGGACTATAAACACGAACCCAAATAAACTTCTTTTCCTTTAATTTGTCAGTATCAAGTATTATATCCCAGGGATGAGAGATTAACCGTGACATGCATTATTAGTTTCCCACTAGCTGTGGAATAGATAACAACTCTGAGGTATGGGTTATGAGAACAGTTGCCTAGGTTACTTCTCAGGGGTCTGAAGGCTGCTTTTGTGAAAACCTCGACTCTTCACTGGGGCCTGCAGATGTCTGATGGGTGCCTGGAATTGTTAAAAAGGCATTGTATCTCTGTCATCATGTTAGGTCTATCTGCTTTGCTGCCTTAACCTTTATGTCAGATTTCAATCAGTTAGGTATATAGACATGATGATTTCCCATTGGAACTGGTACTGGTATGGGTTTCTCTCCCTCCCTCCCTCTCTCTCTCTCTCTCTCTCTCTCTTTCTTCTGTTCCCTGCCCTTGTGTTCTTTCAGCAGCCATGGTAACCCAAGTACCTAGTCTTTTTGTCCTATAGAGCCCAGACCCAGAAGGCTGGATATTTTTGCACAGCGTGATGTTGCCAACTACACAAAAATTCAACAACATTTAGGGTAAGTCAACCACTTGTTGGCCGCAACAAGAAACATCTTTGGGAACTTTGTCCCTGGTCAGTGGAAATTTATAGCAAACCAATAAAAACTTGCTGCTCTTTTTGTCCTATGAGCAATTGGTCCTTTTCTCAATTGATGTTGACTCCCTTTAGCTAAAGCTTCAACCAAATCCTGTCTGTGTATGTGTTTGGAATTCTTGACAGTCTCATTTCTGTTGTCTCAATCAAAGATCCTGTCCAGTCTCATGCCTTTGGTGACTCTATCAGGACAGTGCACAAACATGCTCTGTGTTCTGAATTGTGTTCCTGTCTATCCTTCAACTTCATGGACCCCAACTGGATAAGTCTTGCTGAGTTGCACATCAGAGACCTCAATCTCTGCTTTGGGGACTTTAAACCATTTAGAGGTAGTGTGGATCATTTACAGTAGTGTGCAATGTGAGACGAGCAAAAAGACTATAGTCTCAACTTTTTCTTTGGAGAAATTGTTGTAAAAGGGTACTTAGTTTGGGTTTGTTTTCCTTTGATTGTTTGATTTCCTTTTCTTAAAATTTAAAGGGGTAACTCAATCTTAACACCTTCTGAGAGTCCATTGGTGTGCAACTGGGCTGATTGGTCAGCTTATAACTATAAGTCTATAACTAAAACCAAATGATTTTCTTTGGTAGTACTGATTGGACTTGGTAATCTTTAAAATAAAAAAGTTATAGGGCTGGGGATTTAGCTCAGTGGTGCCACTGCCTGCCTCACAAGCACAAGGTCCTGAGTTAGATCCCTGGTACAAAAAAAAAAAAAAA